TGGTATTGCTGCGGAAAATGATCTCGTTCACTATTGACCGTGTTGCCTGTGCTATGATAACTAGAACAAATAGTTGTCATCTAAATAGATCAGCTTTGATATTGAATGTAACTGGATTTCTACGAAGTACTTAGATGCAGTGATTTAAATGCAAACATAAAAATAAACAATTTGGGATATCCTACTGTTAAAGTTCTAACCGGGAAAAACAAAGAACGGAATATGTATAAGCAAAACTCTTATTGAATGCCGAAAATGATTTCAAAAAGGAAAATAACATATAGTCATTCGAGAGGACTACACTCTCCTAAGCCTCACTTTTACTCACTTAAATCCTGCCCTCTACCCTCCAGGTTGCCTCTGTATTTATAGATCCTTTCTAAATAATCCCCCCCCCCGCCATAACAGAATTCTGTTGATGTATATTCTTCTCAATTTCTTCCGAGCTCTTCTAGAAATGGAGGCCTATCACCTACATACCACACCTTTTATATCTTGAAAAGTCCATTTGAAGTTCATATGATAAAGTCCATCCCTGTGATACACTTTCATCTCCAGAAGTTGCATCGAAAAAGTTTTAGTATCTTTTAGTGCTATAGCAAGGTAATATAATTATAGGTCTAGAATTTATATATTGCATTCGTTACTGTAGAACATCCTCCCAGGATATTACTGAATCAAGCTATGGTAGTTCTAATCATATATCTGAGTTAGGGTTTTATTCCAGATTTGAATCAAAATATAGTTGTTGCATCAACAAAATGCCTTTATTTTTATAATAGAAAACAGGCTATCCTGAAGATTATTCGGAAAGAACACCCCTTATAAAACAAGAAGAAAGATCGTACAGCCAGAGAGCAGAGTTAAAGTTTATAGTTACAGACATTTAGGTCTCTCCAATTACATGAATATCTGATGCAGTCAAGCAGAAACCAATATGACTTTTGAGGTTGGCACATTTTATAATGGTGGGTGAAATCCAATCAAAATTAACATTCCATCTCAATTAATCAAACTTATCATTTCTCAGGCAATCTTGTGTAGATCTTTCTCTTTCCCTCCCACGTTCTTTCTCTATAAATAAGCATTGCTCCAAAGAAAAAGCATCTGTCATCCATACCAGATTACCCCTTTTTCGCTGGATAATGCTATATTTAAACCTAATTACCTGCCTATGGTGGAGATTACTACTTGGACACATGGCAGAGTCTATTGATGCAGGCTGCAATTTTATCTTTACAATAATTTGAGATCTCTAGATTTCTGTTTTCTCATGCTAACGTAAAGCATCAATTATCCAGCATTGACTGTGTATAAGTTCGAGACACACCTCTACTCCAGAAAATCTTTTTGTTTTGAGACTTAAACAATAAACAAGAGCAGTCCACTTTCCAGAACAATTGTCAAGATCACCAAGCCGATAATATTGCTGCATCTGATGGACGGGGGCTGCCAAAACATGATAGTCCATATATTTGATGATTGTAAAATGGAAATCACAGATAAATTTAAACTTTCAGGGGGCCTGTGTATTGACAGGAAACCTTAATAAAAATAAAGCAAATGAATTCAACCAAAAGACCGTTGTGCTTAAACCTAGTACCAGATGATCTTCCAAAAACTTTGGGATTAGTTGATGTCAGATAATTGAGCAAACTGAACGTTCCTACTATGCCCAGCCCACAAATTTGCAGGATAGACAAACTGGTGGTTCAGCTGATTTGTTCATGTTGTAAATTTGCTTAAACTTAAACTGCAGTTCAATTTGAATACTCGTGTTTTTGTGCCCCTGTTCAGTACAAATTCTGTAAATTTTTTTCAAACTCATTTTCTACCGCACATTCTCCTAGTAAAGTAATTTTGCTCATCTATTCATATTTCTTCTTTAATTTTTAACCACACATTCTCAAAAAAAATCACATTTCACGAAATTCATATCAAACATACTCACAATAGGGAAGCTAGATACAGCCCTCAACATTCATTGACAAAACTTTCAAAGAAAATACTAACAAAATGGGGCACCTCCAACATCTAAAGTCTCCATAAAGAAGAAAAGAATGCATTTCATTAAATTTATGGTGGTTACAACTAGTCTTGTCGACCGAAGTTTTACAATGTAAATTTGTAATGACTCTTAATCGTATGGAGTCCCATCCAAGTGGTTCTGAAACCGTTGATCTAAATTTATTCATATGAAGAAAAAGATCTAAATTTTAATTTCCATTTAATCAAACCATATCATGAATAAATACGCGAACAGGTATAAGTAAAGTTAATTTATCTAATCACAGAACCTAATCGGTCAATTCATGAAATTATGGCCGCAGTGCCAAATCGTGGTAAAATTATAAGAATTATATGCAATTCATTAAGTAGAAAGGAGACGGGAGGAGATTGCGGCGTACAATAGCAAAACCAGAGGGCGTCGAAGTGGGTGGTGCAGGATAATCGCCGCCGTGGGACGGAGGCTTCTTCCTTCTCTAGACTCATCCAACTCTCTCCTCCTTTCCGAGTCAAACTCAAAACTCCCAGGCAGGCCCAACACGTTACACGTCACACGTTTCTACTTCCAAAGTAATTAATGGAAACTGTACTTCTACGATCAATTTGAATTTTTGTACAAACTTCAGTGACCATTTGTGAAATTAACTCAAAAATCTTCCATATTGGATTCTTTTGCCAAATACCCGTTAACCCCATGGCAACTGCAGTGTAAATTTCCGAACAATGGATAAAACTGTCCTAAAAGTACAACCAACTTGCGCAGAGTAATAATAAATAAATGGTCACAGACTAAGAGTCGCACTCGAACGGCGGCCAACCCTACACACAAACAAAAGACGCAGTCCAACACCAAAAACACGCACAATCCTATTACTTTGAAATTGATTTTGAATTAAAATCATGTCAGCAATTTTTATTCCAACGGGCCTCACAATCTCCAAACTTTGCAATTCAGCGGACGGTAACAATTCGTTGCATCATTGCACAAGCAGCAATGCCTGTTTTGAATTTAAAATCTTTGCAGAGCTTACACCTTCGAATCACCGGTCCTTTAAGAACGGCAATCAAAAACTGTTCCGAGTGAAATGCAGCGAGTCGGAGTCCGTGGCCAAAACGATTTCGTCGTCAGAAGGTTTTGAGGGTACGGAAATTGATGGGAATGGAGACGGCGGAGACGATCTGTTTCCCCCAGGTGGTGGCGGCAGCGGCGGTGGTGGAGAAGAGGGTGATGATGATGAAGAGGAGTTTGGGCCGATAATGAAGTGCGAGGATGTTATGAAGGAGGCAGAAATTCGGGGTGCGAATCTGCCACCGGATATGCTTGAAGCTGCAAAAACCACAGGGCTTCGGGAGTTGATTCTTGCTCGTTATTTAGATTTTCAGGTGAAAATGCATGTCGATTAGTTTAACACTAAGTACGTCATGGAATTGGGATCGTTAAACTGAAAACAGAATCATCAATTTATTTTAGCTGAAGTTTAATCGTGCAGTTTTAATTGTTGGTCGTTAATGGAAAGCTGAGAGAACATATACTAATTGTTGGTACATGTTAATGTATATAAATAAAAATTCATTATGTGTATGCAAATACTGTCAGGGTATATGTGGTTGTGATCTACATATTGGTTTTAATGTTATTTTGATTAATATCGCAGGGTTCAGTTGGGCCATTAGGATTTCTTATGAGACATTGTTCGATGCTTAGGAATCGCATGCTGGCAGATCCGTCATTTTTGTTTAAAGTTGGAACAGAGGTTCGCTTGAGTTTTTGTACTTTCGTATATGGTTTAGTGTATGTAGTTTAGATATTTAATCACTATCTAATTTCTGCTTTAGCGACATCGAATTTAAGAACTGATGTGATGATTGATAAGTTATTTTTTTTTCCTGATTGTGATTACCTTATGGAAGATAATAGTTTCTTATTATAGCAAACAATTACTTCTGACGGGCTTTGTTAACAAAAGACGCTTTTGGTTATTTGTTGCATTACATTTACCACTTATAAAGTTAATGACTTCTACAACGTTAAGTTGACCTATGAACTTTAAGCAAAGCTATAGAAATACAAAATTGTTCTTTTTCTTCCAACCAGGCTTATTACAAACCCACCTTGCCAAGACATAAAATTTCCAGTCCTTAACCCCCACCACTACCACTCTGCTCCAACCTAGCCGTCTCTCTATCACCCTTTCAACTTCACATGCTGCCATTCACCTCACCATTAGAGCTATCTTACCTCCTACCATGTAGTCCAATTGCCTCCATCTATTTCTCTTTCCTTCCTAATTCTATTTGCAACAATTCTCTGTCACCTTACCTCCAAGTTTTCTTCCTCGTGCACCTTGAATTTCTTGCTCCCTCACATGCACCATGATAAAGGTAGTGATAATAGTCAGGAGAATATTATCTCAAACTCCTAATAGAACTAGAGATTTTATAGAGATCTGTAGTCTCAACTTCCTTTCTCTCTTCTTGTTTTCTAACGATTATGTCTCTCTCTCTCTCTCTCTCTCTCTCTCTCAATAGAACTGACTTCCCAATTCTCTTATCCTTTTCTAAATTTCTTATTCTCATCTCGACAAACACGTGTAATTTTCTACTGGAAAATGACACTGTGATTTGGTAAGAACTTGGATCCTTTGTTCCTTCTCTTTTCTTGCCATTCTGTAGAGAAATCTAAGGTATCTTAGACTCCCTACAATGGGGGAAACTTCTTTGAAGTCATCCGCAATTATATAGATAGTATACTGTTTGCTTGAAATGTTTATTTGGAATAATTATTTACATGTGACTTGTTGCATATAATTTTTCCGTTGATTGTTTGGTGGATGTTTGACTAATGATTTGGTTGTGTTCCAGGTGGTAATTGATTCTTGTTGTGCGACATTTGCAGAAGTTAAGCAAAGGGGAAAGGATTTCTGGGCTGAGTTTGAATTGTATGCTGCTGATCTTTTGGTTGGCATTGTTGTTGACATTGCTTTGGTTGGCATGTTAGCACCTTATGCTCGTATAGGCAAGCGGTCAGTTTCCAGTGGTTTTCTTGGACGTGTGCAGCATATTTGTGGAGCTCTTCCCAGCAGGTAAGTCATGCATTTGTAGGGTATGGATCTTAACTACCACTTGGAGTCCTCTAGATATATTCTGCACTAAGTACTCTTCTTGTTGCAGCTTGTTTTCTCTTAGCCCTTTGCTTGATGGTACTGAAAGCTATTGGTTAAGTGGAATAGTTGTCTGATATCATTAGAATAAACAGTGGTTGGAAGTTGGAATTACATTTTTCTTAGTTTTAACCCACTCAGGCTGCAAGTTAGTATTGTACTTCTGTATGTTAAGAGCCTTCCCAGCAGAATTCTATTTATATATAATTGAACTCAGACATCTGGTTGCATTTATATGGGGATAGTTATGTGACGGTACAAAATATAGAATATATAGAAAACGACTATATTATTCGTTGTTATAATCTTGATTAAAACTTCATTGCAATTTGCTTAAATAATCCTGAATGATTTTCTGATCAAGCCTTGTACAGATTGTCTCTAGCATCCAATTGAACTGTTAACCGCATGTGTTTTGGAACCTTCATAGTTTTCCCAATTTTCGAACTCCCTTTTTGCGATGCTGATTCTGAGCCAATGGCAATGCAAATCTTTCCTGCCACAATCAATGATCAATGGATATGTGATTGTAAATATTTGTGGTCATATAGTGTTTTTGAAGCTGAGAGACCAGGAATCAAGTTTTCATCACAGCAGCGGATCGCAACATACTTTTACAAGGTGATATCTGCTAAGGATTCATCCAATTATCTTTACGCTGCCATGAATTACCTGAAGAAATGTCTTTACTTTATCATCTTCTTTGCCTAGTCATACACGAAGCTTGACTGGCAATTGTAGTTACATGGTGGTTGTTGTTGCTTGCTGATGTGCCTATTTGGCATGTAGGGTGTATTGTACGGCTCAGTTGGATTCGGTTGTGGTCTTATTGGCCAAGGCATTGCAAATATGATCATGACGGCTAAACGGTAAAGAACAATATTTGATCTCTTCTCTTTCCTCTCTCTCTTTCATCCATATATTGTGTTGTTAAGATCTGGATTGACACATTGGAAATCAGTTAACTGCTCTTTACTAGTGAAATTGTTGGTATACTTTGCTATTGAGGTAGACGGCGTGTTTTTTCAAGAAATTTAAATCCAAATACTTTTGCTTGCCCAAGATAAAATTGATCTTAATTGTTTCTACTAATCTTCACTAAGTCTCCTGGAGAGCTTGGAAGAATAGAAATCTTTATTCTCGCGTTCTGTTGTATATAATAAACTAAACGTATCACTTAGGGTATGTTTGATTACATTTATTTTTCATGGAAAATATCAGTTTTCCATCCAAATTTTCACTTTGAGTGTTTGATTGCTATTTTTTTCCATGGAAAACATTTTCCAACTTTTAAAAATATGCCTAATTTTACTTGTTTTTAAGGAAAATATTTTCCTTGGGTAGAGGTAGTTTTTATTTTCCACAAAAGATGGAAAATATTTTATTTTCTAGGTAATATTTTCCATGTCAATCAAACACACCCTTAAAGATATGTTCAATTATGTTGTTTGGTGTTCTGCAAACTATCAATGATTTCTCCTAATGGCTGTTGTGAGCTGCTGTTACCCTCTGTGGTTAATATACAGTCATCTGGGTAAATGTTTGTTTTCTCCATCTGTTATCTATATGGCTGTACCTTTCTACATGACAGGAGTATAAAGAAGTCAGAAGAAGACATACCTGTTCCCCCATTGGTGAAAAGTGCTGCCCTATGGGGTATGTTTAATTTTTAACTTGAAATGTTTAATTATTATTTTGAATATGTGTACAATAATAATAGCAACGTCCTTCTTGATGTATAACAGCCATAAAGTGCTTTGTCTATTGAGATCGATATGATAACAGGCGTCAGGATAACTGACATTGAAGACTGATTTACTCAATTTTAGAGGCGTAAACAAAAGAGGAGAATAGTAGGGTGCAAGGGAAATATGTTGCGTATGGGAGGTTAATATTCAAGTTATTAAAGAGGCAGGAAATGAATAGATCTGTGATGTCCATTTATGCTTCAAGAACTTTGAAATTAAAGAAGAAAGAGAATAACAAATTTTTGCAATTGATATTTTATATTTGAATACCTGACTAACCTTCATTTTCAGCTGACATAGGATTTCTTTTCCAGTAGTTTCTTGTTGCTCGTCATAGTTGGCTATGTTTACCATGACTCATTCCTCCTTTTGGTTTTATTTTATTTTTTTTTAAATTTCGATCAGGTGTTTTCCTTGCGGTATCTTCGAACACTCGTTACCAGATTATTAATGGATTGGAGCATCTTGTAGAAGCTTCACCATTGGGAAAACAGATCCCACCTGTTGCCATGGCTTTCACAGTGGGTGTAAGGTTTGCCAACAATATATACGGTGGAATGCAGTTTGTAGATTGGGCTAAATGGAGTGGAGTTCAATAGTTGTTCTTAGCAGAAACTTTCAATCGGCATATACATAATTCACTCATTCAGAATCGAGAAAGAAATGCCCGTAAAGAAAATGGGAATGAAAGAAATGATGAGCAACAGCTCTAGCGAAGCTTTTATTTCCAATATGGCTTTATTTTGTAGCACTAGCTTGAGAGCTCAATTTATTTGTTGTGGGAACCTTCGACCCCGTGATAGAAAGACTTCTTTGGTGAGGTACTTCTGAGTAGGATAGTGAAGTTCGGTTTGAAAATGCTCCAGGTTCGTTCTCTATTAAGCTTATGTTGGGACATGTTCGCTGTACTGTAATCTGTTACCCTATGGTATTCTTGTTCGGTAGGAATTGCTTAAGATATATTTTTGGTGGCATTTAATCCCCATACGATGATTATGTGTTTGTAGGTATGCACAAGTGCTGTAATAACTAGAAGAAGAGGACTTAAAAAATGCATAATTACTTTATTATACATTTGTCCAGTATTCTGTATGGTTCTGATATGGCAGATGGTCTGGAAAAAACGGCGAACTCTTGATCCCACATGGGATTCATATTTTTGACGATTTGGAGCTATTGCTCAATTACTTGAAGTCAAGTAGATATCTATAGAAAGCGATGCTCAAAATTTCTTCTCGCGTCTCTTTACAGAATCTATTTGGGATGGTTTGTGGTTCTACTTTTTACTATTAAAGCCATGTTTGAGTTCCATTATTTTCTCATTAAAATGAAAAATAGAATCGTTATTCATCACATCAAACTACCATATTTGACTTTTTATTTTTTGTATGGGACTTGTAACGGTTATATTTTTCATTCTCATTTTTACAATAATGTGGCTCAAACGGGGACTAAAAAATTGTCTAAATAGATTGAAAAGTAAGTTTTTTTAGTCTTAAAGCAGCTTTTCACTTTATAGAAGATATCCAAAGTGTAGATTAAAAGAAGCTTTCATCTATAATCTTATTTATTAGTGGTGCAATTTGATATCTTAGTTCAACCCTGACTTTTGGTGAATATGAGATCTCATCCACTAGATTTTAGTATAACAATTTCATATTATACCTATAGAGGAAAGCATTTGATTTGTAATGAATGATTGCAGCTTGTTTTGGATTTTAAATTCTTAACCAAATCTATCAACCACTACTAAAATCTTATGATGGCCTTTTAAACTACACCTAACATCAATCATATATTCATTTGGATGTTATCTCTATAACTTTCCCGTAATTTCAAACAGTTCGAAGTTACTATAATCAGTAACTCTACTGTACCTTACTTCGTTGACAAAAAAATAAAAATAAATAAATAAATTTATAGTTCGAGCTCCAAATTTAACCACACTCGATCCTTCTTATCCAACCTTCCTTATTTAAGTATGTCAAAAGTGATTTGCATTTCCTTTTTCTTTCGTCTCATATTGGAGTGGCCAGCATTGTTTCACGTGAGGATATTGAGAAATTCACCCAAAACACAATGCTCATTCGTTCATTCCAGGTAAATTCAAAAAGGAAAAATTACAGTTTCTTCAATAAAAACTAAAAGAAATTCTAGGGTTCTAAGAATTCATAACGTAGTATGTTCGCAAACAATGAAAAAAAAAAAAGAAGAAAAAAGAAGAAGAAGAGTTTCAAGACGAGCGACAATTGGATGACATGTATTCTACTGATATTCGGGCAACAGAAATCATCTTTGATAAATAAAGCAAACTCATCGGCACAAAATCTGTTAAAACATTAAAGTCAACATCATGGACCGCCTAAACTAATGCTAATAATAACTACCATATTTTTCCTACACAAGCTCTAGTAGGTATGTGTACATGACCATAAGGAACCGAAAATTTTATAATTTGGATGCTTACAAAGTTATACATTGGTTTCATGGAGCTATACATTTATAAACCGTAAGTATGAAAATATGAGATATAGAATATGTACTTGTTTGGTGAGTAGAATGTCGTATTTACCTGTATGGAAGCTCTGTAGATGACTGTGCATGAGTTCAACTATTCAAGGGGACTCCCCAATTTGTGCTTTAACAATTGCTTCCTCTGTGATTTACCAAATCCCATATCCAATTTACGGAAGGGGGTTGTGTGAGAGAGGCAAATTTCTCTTATTACAACACTCAAAACAAAGAGAAACTTTTCCGATGTCTGGAGTGGCGGGCGGAAGTTTCTGCCTGCTCGATTGATGCTCTGGGAGTCGGTGCTGTGCTATCCACGACGTCTGGTTCGGTATCTGAAGACCGGGGAAGCAGCTTGCATCCAATCCTCCGAGTGACAAACCGAGGGGAACTAAGGTAGCTATGTGACTTGGTCACCTTTTTCACTTCTTCCTTAATTTTAGTGAATTCTTGTTCTAGCTCTCCAACTCGAGTTCTCATCCTTTCCATGTCGACTTTTAGAACCTGGTTCTCACGAACAACTGTTACCCACCCATCTCGTTGAACAGTTTGACCGGTTATTTCATTTGGGGCAGCCAATGAAGCTGCGGGGGCACTTTCAGTATCCAGATCGTTCAGGCAGCCGGCTAAAGCCCTCCTCAACTGCATTTGTTCAAAGAACAAGACTTGAAGAATAACTC